GTATTAGGTTACACCAGGGGTAGGCAAGTTCGGTCCTAGAGAGCCGCAGTCCTGCAGAGTTCAGCTCCAACCCTGAAAAAAAACTCACCTGCCTATAGCCTTAGTAATCCTGAAGACATTGATTAGCTTGTTCAGGTGTGTCTGATTAGGGTTGGAGCTGAACTCTGCAGGACTGTGGATCTCTAGGACCGAACTTGCCTACCCCTGGGTTACACCAAAAAAACTACATTTAAGGATTAGATTAGGTTTAAAATTTTAGTTGCTAATTTAAAAAAACTTTTCTATTTTAATATTTTTAAAATGCAACACTTTTTATGGTGTAAATAACATATCTACTATATAATAGCTACTATATATTTCTAATATGCTGCTTTGGTGCTGAAGAAACATTATTTTATTATTATCAGTTGAAAACAGTTGTGCTGCTTAATATTTTTGTGGAAACCATGACCATTATCCATTTTGGTTTTCGAAAGTTCAGATTCTAAAGTTCAAAAGAACAGCATTTTTTGATATATGACATTTTTGCAAAACAAAAATCTTACTGACTCCCAACATCTGAGTTTGGTAAGTGGCACTTTTTGGAACTGCTTAATATAAGTGTGTTTCTCTGACAGGTCTAAGAAGGATACTAAGGTGCTCATTGAGGATACGGACGATGAGGCCTTCAGCTGAACCCAGATCTCGCTGTCACGCCACCTGTCTCCACTTTCTATTGGTTCCTCACAGAGCTGCCTCAGCACACCTGATCCCAAACACACACAGATACACACATATTCACATACTCTCTCTTTTCAACATTCACAAAACCATCCAAAGACAGAGTAGTGGACAGAGTTAAGCACAAAAACAGCCGTGAGACATATCAGGACACAACAGTGACATCGTACAAACACTAACACACACATACAACAAAATAGACAGTACACACACACACGGAAAAGCCAAGTCTGGAATTTTCCTCAAGGTACTTTTTTTATTAGACTTTTTCATTTTGTTCCTCTATATTGATACTTTTTTGTACATTTGTTTAGGTTTTTGAATCTATATTACTGCATATGACTGTTTACAAACTTAAAGGGGTCCTATTATGCTCTTTTACAAAGTCTTGATGTTGTAGTCCAAACGAGTCGTTCGTTGTAGTTTTTGAAAAGTGATTTCTGTTAAATAAAATGTCTCCTTTTGAAGTGGACTTTGAACTTTGTAACTTTCCAGATCTTTTTTATGCTCAAACAGCAGCATTACTGACTAACTAAAGTTGAAAAAGTGAAAAAGCATAATAGGATCCCTTTAAAATTATATCTAGGAACTACAGGGAGGAGAGTTATCATATGAAAGAATAATATAATATCGTACAATGCACGGACTCAAGTCGCACACTATAAATGTTATAACTGCAGCGCATTTAAAAATAACAACAGCTCGGTAGCTGATGTTTGTTATATTCTTTTAAT